GATAGAAATACAGAATACCTAAAAATATATTTTAGCTAAGATATTAAAATGGAAGTGTGTCTGGTGTGTATTATTGTGATCAATTCACATAGTATTTTTTTAATATTAAATATAAAAAGTGTTGATGTGGGTGGTTTTCTTTTTCAAAGTGTTATGCCGTATTGCATTTTATATAACATATATTCCAATGTTTATATTTAACAATAAAATTTTACATTCAATGTTTTATTTCTACTGGTACTATTTAATAGTAGATTTTTGTTCATAATTTACATGCTATTACATTCATGTCATAAATGTTATTGTTATTTTTATTTTTACTAGGCAAGAAGTGTGATGTTTATAAATTATCTGAATTACATGATAAAATTGGAGAGGAATGTATTGTAATAGGCACACTATTTAAACATCAAGAACTAAAACCTAGTATTTTAAAGGAAATTAGTGAAGAAGTAATATAAAATTCATATTGTACACAACATAAATGTATTTAATTGTTGATTAATTTGTATGTTTTTAGAACAATTTGATACCTCAACCGCCTAGAACTCATTTTGTTTCCGATACAGATGAAGTCATATTGGAAGATGAATTACAAAGAGTGCCTTTAACATTTGATGGATTGAATGACAATAGTTTATCCTTAAATAATATTATGACTGGATGTATTATAGCAGTAAAAGGTATCCCTCATGATGGTGGAAAATTTGATGTAATGGATTTTTGTTGGCCTACACCATCAGCTGTTTCTAAAAAACTCACTACTCGTAGTTCAAGAGATGATAGGTATGATGCTTATRAAATTTGTTACAATTTTCTAAGAATCTGTCAACATGATTCTACAATAAATAATGTTAATTTTTGCAGGTTTCTTGTATTAATAAGTGGCTTAGAATTAGCTACTAATGTTGCTACTCATTTCCAAATACAATTATTTGTGGATTGGATATATGGTTTACTGGGTGATAAAAAAGAAAACTGTAAAGTCTCGAAAATTGTCCAAGTTTTAATAGCTGGTAATTATTTTTGAAGTGTGRAAGTATAAGTAATATTTCATTATTTTTATTTTTAAACAGGAAATAGTATACGTAGTACTCCTATGAAAAAGCCAAATTACCGTGACAAGATTGACGATTTTCCTAGAGACATTCAAGCAATTAAGCAGTTAGATGACCTTTTATTTCAATTAGCTGTAAGCATAGTTTATTTATTTTAACTTTTTACATTTTAAAAGAATTATTTAATTTTCTAGTCAACCGTTGATGTCCAAATTATGCCTGGAGAATTCGACCCAACAGATAGAACATTACCTCAACAAGCATTCCACAAATGTTTATTTCCCAAAGTAAATATTAACATGCTACAATAAAGTTGATATTTTTTAACACTCTGATAATTGGATTGAAAATTTATATTTTCAATCATTGGGTTCCAGTGTATGAACTATAAATTTACATATTTTGAAATTTTTTAGAATCCATAAAATAATACCAGGTTTATTGTACTGAACTTAATATATTAGACATTTTCATTTGTATGATATGAGCAATCTAATTGATAGGAATACAGTGATGTGATGGTCAAATGATTTTGTCAAATGGAGCCGGGTAGGATATGGCTTATGTTTTAACATGCACTATTTTATTATTAAAAATATTGTTTATGGTTATCCACATCAGATTTCAAACATCGAAAAAAAGGCCATAAGGGGATCTATCACTCATTCTCCCTACTCTCATTTCAGGAATATCTGGTTATAGCATYGAAATTTAAACAAAATATATTAAATGGAGAAGGCCAGTTCTCGCATCAGGACGATTGGTGTTTCAGAATAATTGAAAAAAAAAAATGATGTTAGATAGATAAAATTAAAGTCCCAAAATTGTTTATTACAGTATTATAAACTAATCATGTCTGTTTTTGGTTGTGGTTCATTCTATTTTTTTTTTAAAGGCAGCTGAATTTTCAAGTTTACACAGAGTAACAAATCCAAATCAGTTTGAAATTGAAGGCCATCTTATAATTGGATCATCTGGACAAACTGTGCAAGATATTTTGAGATTTTCTAACTTAGAAGATCCAAT